ACAGTTGCAAAGTAGCTTTGGGTGCGTTCAGCGAACTCAACAGTTGCACAATAGTTGAGCAATTCGTCAATGTAATTGGTCTAAAGTTAAGATCATTGCACAATTTCAGGCTACAGGAAATAGAAATAAGCATTAGCCAATAGGAACAGGGAATAGAAATAATTGACCAATTCGAATTCCTATTCATTGTTCCTATTGCCTGTTGCCTGGCATTCTGCAAGAGCTTTAAGAGATCTAATAGTAAAGACCAATAATCACTGACCGCTCACTGATCAGCTATAGGTTTGTTCGCGTCGCATGCCCTATCATGCTTCTACTCGCTCCAACGCACTCCAATTCGTTCGTGTCACCGGAACCAATATGGCGACTAAGCGTTTGCGTCGCGTTAGAGTATACCCTAAGGGCTATCGCACACAAATTGACATATCTGCATATGCATAGCATAAAATCGTATGGACCAATGAGCATCGAATATTAAGCATCGAACACCAATATAGCGACTTAATACTCGATGCTCATTGATACATACGGTCTTATGTTATGCATATGCAGTTATGTCAATTTGTGTGCGATAGCCCTAAGGAGCAATTGGGAGTATGCTCTAGTTGCCTCAGCTTCGAAGGTGGTGCAGTGGGGACTGAGTTGGGACAGCGCCGCGCGTAATAAAAATAAGTATGTGTTAAAATAGGTAAGTGATGAGGTTAGACTAAGACTTAATTTTTTATTCAGTAGGTTTGAGATACTATATGTGTGTGTGTGTGTGTGTAAACTATACACACACACACACACACACACACACACTATTGTGTCCAAAAAGTAAGACCACCCTTATAGAAATATCATACTAAGAATTATTGATAATTACTTATTTTCAGTATTAAAAATACTGGATAATAAGTAATTATCAATGATTCTTAGTATAATATTTCTATAAGGGCAGTTTTCAATTTAAATCGCGCAGATAAACCGCACATCATAAATATTTTTTTTTTAAGTTGGCAGCATTGTGACAGATATCTGTGACAATTTCATGTCAAAACATTCATTACTTTCTGCTTTACGCTTGGTTTTGTACGACGCTAAAAGTGCATTCGGCGATTTTTACAATGTCTAATTATATTGAGCAAAGAAGTTGCATTAAATTTTGTTTGCGGAATGAAATTTCGGGTGCAGAAACGTTCAGGATGTTGCAGAAAGCCTTCGGAGCTTACCATGCTTTGTCGGAAAGAAATGTTTACAAGTGGTATTAAAGTCGATCGAAAATCAAGGTCATGTTGACAGTTTTCATTGATTATCGTGGTGTTGTCCATTCAGAATTCCTTCCACCCGGCCAAACCGTCAACAAAGAATATTATGCGTCGTTTGCGTGAAGCTATTCGCAAGAAGAGGCCAGAATTGTGGGCAGATAATTCTTGGTTTTTGCATCACGATAATGCACCTTCTCACACTGCACTCGTTCTTCGTGACTTTTTCGCCAAAAATTCGATACATATCGTTTCACAACCACCGTATTCGTCTGATTTAGCACCGTGTGACTTCTGGCTATTCCCGAAACTCAAAAGACCACTGCGGGGAAATCGTTTTGAGACGATAGAAGAGATACAACGTGAATCGCTACGCGCT